ATATATGTTTACAATGTTTATGTCTTCTTGATGGATTCTCCCTTTGAATATTGTGAAGTGTCCTTCTGGGCCTCTTTTTATGACCTTTGTTTAGAAATCTATTTTGTCTGATAAAAGTATTGACAGCCCTGCTTTTATTTTCCTGTCCATTTGCTTGGAATATTTTTTTCCATCCCTTTACTTTCAGTGGGTGTAGGTACTTTGTTCTTGTAGGTATCATATGTGCAGGTCACGTTTTCTTATCCACTCAGCTACCCTATGTCTTTTGTTTGGAGCATTTAATCCATTTAAATTTAAAGTTATTATTGATAGGTACTTATTCAATTTTTTCCCTTTGTACCTCTCTCACTCTTTTACTTCATTTTCTTAAAGCAGTCCTTTTAGCATACCTTGTAGTGTTGGTTTGGTAGAGGTGTATTCTTTTAGCCTTTTTTTGTCTGGGAAACTCCTTATGTTGCCTTCCATTTTAATTGAGAGCCTTGGTGGGTAGAGGAGTCTTGGTTACAGGACTTTGCTTTTCATTACTTGAAATATTTCTTGCCATTCCCATCTGGCTTGTAGTGTTTCTGTTGAGAAGTCAGTATTGGAGCTCCTTTTTATGTTACTACCTTTTTCTCCCTTGCTGCCTTTAGGATTCTCTGTTTGTCTTCGTATTTGCCATTTTCATGATGATGTGTCTTGGAGTGGGCCTCTTTCGGTTCCTCTTGAATGGGATCCTTTGGGCTTCCTGGACTTGTGTGACTTTTTCTCTCCTCCATTTAAGGAAGTTTTCCATTATTACTTTTTCAAACAGGTTCTCTATCCCTTCGTTTTCTTCTTCTCCTTCTGGTATCCCTATTACATGGATATTATTACATTTCAGGTTGTCCTGAATTTCCTTCAAGGCCTCTTCATTCTTTTTGAGTCTTTTTTAAATTTCTTGCTCTTTTGGGGAGCTTTTTCCTACCTTGTCCTCCAGCTGATTGATTCAATCCTCCGCTTCATCTAGCCTGCTTTTGATTCCTTCTACTGTGTTCTTCAGTTCAGAAATTGTATTATTCATTTACTCTTGTTTCTTACTGATAGTTTCCATGTCCTCTTTCATGCTGTTATAGTTTTCAGTAAGTTCCTTGTAGTTTCCCTGTAGTTTTTGGTAATTCTCACTGAGCTCATTGACTATAGCCTTTTTTTTAAAGTCCATTTTGGGAGCTCCCTTTTAGGTAATGAACTGTGTTTCTTTTGCAGCTTTTATTTTTCTCTTTTCATCCTTGATCTTTGCTATTTTACTTATGATATGTGTTGATTTTGGTGTCCTTGGGTCTATCTTGGTTGGGAATCTCCACTTTCTGGAATTGTGCGTCTTTTTCCTCCACCAAGTTGGGAAGTTTTGGGTCATTATTTCTTCAAATAGGATCTCAATCCCTTGCTCTCTCTCCTCTCCTTCTGGTATGACTCTGATACAAGTGTTGTTATGCTTCATATTGTCCCAATGGTCTCTTAAATTATCCTCCTTTTTTCAATATTCTTTTTTTCTTTTTACTGCTCAGATTGGGTGTTGTTTTCTACCTTGTCTTCCAAATCATTGATTCAATCTGTTGCTTTATTCAACCTACTGTTTATTCCTTCCAGTGTTTTCTTCATTTCATATATTGTATTCTTCATCCTGATTGGTTCTTTTTAATGGTTTTAATATCCTTTTTCATGCTGTTGAGCATCCTTATATCCATTAGTTTAAATTACTTGCCTCTATTTTATTTAAGTCTTTGTTTCTGGAGATTTCTCCTGTTCTTTCATTTTTGTCCTTTTTATTTGTCTCCTCATTTTGCCTGCCTCTTTGTGTTTGTTTCTATGTATTAAATAGGTTTCCTATGATTCCCATCCTTCATTGGCTTTATGTAGTATGTGTCCCCTGGGGTCCAGTGGTACAGTCTCCTTGATCTCCTGAGCTGAGTGCTCCAAGAATGACCCTCGTGTGGATTTTTGTGGGCCCTGCTGTTGTAACTGAGTCTTGATTGTTATTAGCCCTTTCGTGCATGAGATCCAGCTTCAGGCTGGCTGACTGTGAGGCTCAACCCTGACCACGGCATGTGTGCTGCTGTGCAGATGCTGATAATGAAAATTGGAATTAACCTCAGCAGGATTTTGTGCCTGCTTAGTTCACCCTTTGGATATTCTGCTTTTGAAGCTTATTGGATCCTGCTCTAATGTTTTCTGAAGCTGGCCATTGGGTGCATTGTTTCTGGGTCTCTTGGGAGGAACTTTGGTGCAGTCCAATGTAAGGCATTGCCTGTGTCTTGCCCTTAGAAACCTGTTTGGAGCTACAAGTAATCCACCATTTGTAGTTGTCTCTGCTGGGCCTGGATGTATACAGAGAGGACCAAACTGCACAATGAGGCTGAATTTTACCGACATCAGGCCTGGTGCAGGTCAGTAAAATCCCAAGGCACCCTGAGGTGATTTGCCTTCTCTTGCCAGTTGCCTGTTAGGCTCAGTTACTGAAAGAGCCTCTGGTATACTCCTCAGTATAGCATTAGCTTGACAGGGTGGGGCAAGTGGGAGTCCAGACGGTGGACTATTGCTTTCCCACAGGCTGATTATGCATGGAAAGGAGTGCTGCACCCTAGAAAGATGTCCTCTGCTGTATGGGAAAATCACTCAGTACAGGGATCCTCGTGGCTGTCCTTTCAGCTCTCTCTCTAGAGCCACAGACCACAGTCTCTCCTCATGTAACTCTAGTCTGCTTTTCCCTCCTTCCATAGAAGCCCAGAGTGAGTTGTTATGATTGAAATTTTGTATGTTGGCTCTTTCAGAAGGTGCCTGTGTCTCTAGCAGCCCTCTGCCTTCCCCTGGCAGACAGAATCCTCACTGATTTTTACAACCAGATATTACGTGGACACCTCTTCCTGGCTCTGGGGCTCTGGGCTGGGGATCCTGGCCTGGGGTTGAGGCCCTGTGCTTCTCAGGGGGAACCTCCCTCCAGCTGAGATATCCCTCTGGAACTTCAGCTATAGCTTGAGGAAACAGGGCCAGCTTTTTTCATGTCTGTGCCCTTCCTACCACTCTCAATGTCACTTCTGTAAATTCTTTGTTATAAACTTTCTCTTCCACTAGTCTTCAGTTAATTATTCAGGTTGATTACTCTATATTTTAGTTGTAATTCCAGTTTGGTCTAGGAGGATGTAAGTGAAACTACTACCTAATCCACTGCTCCCATGGATCCTTCCCCTCTCCCCTGTATGCTTAGATTTGAAAGATTGCCCGAGGCTATTATGCTCCCATCTTCTTTTTTAACTATTAGTTTTCTCATCCCAGTGTGTCCCAGGACTCACTGAAATATCTGGTCAATCCTAGCATCTACAAAGCTCCCTTGGGGATTGACATGCTGTCTTGATAGCTTGTAGATTTCAAGACAGTCAAATATGGCTGGGGGTTAGGGTCCTCAATTTTGAGCTTTAAGAGTATGTTTTACCAAAATGAGGTCCTATGATATCTTGAACATACCAAGTGCTCAAGAGTTGGGAGCTCTAGTTAATGGAATAGTCTGTTTATTTACTGAGCAATTGCTTTATACAAAACATTGTACTAGATACTGTGAGGTAAAATCTTAAGCAGCAGAAGAGTTGGGCTTGTGTTTAGAGCTTAAGACATGGCCTGATAGTTGTTTTTATTTAATTACATTGAAGTCTTTAAGGACAGAGCCATTTCTATATTCTCCAACCTGGTACAGTAAGGATGGAATAATTGTAAAAATGAGTGATGTGAGAATATTTTCAAGTTGTTCACCTCTTCTGAAAGCAGAGTGGCTTCAAACAGTCCAATTATTTGAGTTTTAGGTTGGTTGCCAGATAATAATGGTAGTTGGGTGTTGTGGTATTCTCTTTCTACTTACTTGATCAAGGGCTTATCCAGAGCCTTTAACCAAATAATTGCAAAATGTGTTGAGATCCTCCAATTAAATGTGCTAATTATTATTATAGTTATTGTTATTATTGTTAAGGAGTATGTATATGTGATATAAAAATAGAGAGCAATGGATTTGATATTTAAAAAGGGAAAACCTAATTTAAATTTCTAAGTTAAAGAATTTAGAACTGTTCCAAATGAGATCTGCTGAAAATAAGACCATATTTCAGATTAAATAATTGGAAACACATCCCATTACTTTCCTCAGTCTTAATAAACACATTTTTTTCCTCATGTATTGAAGGAAATTAGAGGACAGACAAAAGAGTTTTGAAAGGAGGAAAGAGAAATTAATTGAGAGGAGAGTTTATTGGAAAAAAAAGAGGACAGAGCAGAGGTTGAAAATGTGGCTCCTCTGAGGTCATCACTCAGGCTTTGGGATGACCAGCTTGAATTTACATTCCCTTTCTCTTCTCAGCTCTATGGTTCTTGACCTGGGCAATAGAGGCTTCTCTGGGGTCTCTCTCTGCCTGTAAGAATCTGCTGGCAAGATGAAAAAAACATTGCAGAAATATAGAATTATAAAAGCAGCCAGGATACCCTGGGCTTAAAAACAAAGTTGCACAGCTTGCCCTTCATTTCTATTCATTTTTTTTTGTTTTATGGGAGTTGTTGGAGGGTGGGGTGTTAGGGGGAGGTAAGCTCTGAATGTATTTATTCCAGATACAAAATACAATGTGTTGCCTAATGTCAAAAGTTTAGGGTGAAAATGACAAACACAATCTTCAATTGAGCATCCAGATGTTTGCTTGTTATGAAGCTAAACAGGCACACATTCTTGAAAATAGAGCTACATGGAAAAGGGTAGACAAAACATCTGGATGACAGCTTGAAATGGTGTTTACTTTTCATCTAGCTGCTGTGGCATCTTATGGAGCTTGCCTGAACCTCAGGTATATATAGCAAGCAAGCCTTGTAAGAAAGAAGGCTCCAAAATTAATGATTAAAGGAAATCAGAGGCAACTTCTGCAACAAACTGAATGCTTGTACCCTATTGGCAAGAAGGACTTCTTTAGGTTTATAATATATTTAATATTTTTCATATTTTCTATAATAAGGGCAAAGGAGCGGAAGACCTTCGGTTAACTGGAAAAAAAGGCTTCACAAAGTCCCTTCTTGTGCTCCCAGCAGTGGGAAAAGATGGGTAAGTGGAGTTCATACTTTATTAGAGTCTTCCTATGTCCTGCTCTACCACACTTTCTTCACTATTTTTGTGTCTCTCCTACCCTGAAAGCAAGTGGGCCATGGACTGCCACCAGTAGAGATCGCAGCCTCCCAAAGAAGAAAGCAGAGAGGCAACTGATGAGAAACAAACCACAAGGTAATGACCAGAGGAAAACAAAACACAGGAGTTTGCCATATTTTCAAAGCTGGGGCTTCCTTTGGCATGAGTGCCATTCTCAGCTTACACTCTGTTGGCAGAGCGGGATGGAATTGGTGAATTTCCAAGTTTGGCTAAGATATGCAAAAACCTCGTGAGGAGGCTTGCTGCAGAGTGAGCTGCATCTGAGGGAGCTCAGCTTCCCTGGCTTGAGAGAGGCCCTTGCCTCCTGCACTGATAACACATTTGAATGTTAACAAGGCTGGCCTTGGTATTCAGCTATCAGGCAGGAGCACCCGTCTCTTTTATTGTCAAGCATGTGGGCCACATTGTGAGCCACCTCAAGTTTTCAGAGACTCACATCTATCTAAGCAACACAGCTATATTGCGACAACCCCTTTTTTTTTCTGGGATCTATTGGCAAGACCATCTTTGAGGGAATGCTTATGTCATTTCCTCTGGAGGCACTAACCGATCCCTTCCAAGGCTGGCATTGCCAACCAAACTAATACTGGCTACTCTTTGACTGTTTGGCTTCAGGCCAATTCCCCCATCCCTCCACTTCTACTAGAAAAGTATGATTTGGAAGCTGTAACAACAGTCTAACTATCAAGAATTCTAATGTTTTTATCTGTAAGGAATCCATTGTTTTCTTGGGCCCCTGTCAGTATTTCTTTTATTCTTTATCTTGCTATCTTATTCTCTCTTTCATGGGGACTTTCACCCCTGGATCCATAGCTCCCTCCACATAACCTTGGAAATCACAAGATTTTAAAGTAAACATTAGGGCATCTCCACAAAATCCTATTCACTTTTTTTTTAGCATGTTCTAGAGGAATCCCAATTCTAGCAACAACTAGCAAAGGCATCCATGTTCTTGCTACTTTTCCACTAGCCTCAGTTGATTTTATCAGCTATGACTTTCTCTCCTAGGGAAACCCAGTGCATCTTCATTTCTGCAACTATCACCAGTACTCTCTATAAATTATAACATTTATGCTTAGGAAAGTCTTCTGTACTGAGCATGCAGCTCCCCTGCCATGCTGCCACCTGGGGCCTGGCTCTGTCCTTTCCTATTGACTAATACAGGCAGATAGCAGGTAGGACATACATTCACCCAGTTAGCAGGAACATTATTTCCTGTGGGGAAGGAAATACACAGTCAGTTTCAGTCTCAGATTCAGTCTCAGTTTTTGTCTCCTTCTGCCTTTCTGTCTCTCTCTCACACAGCAGGAAAGGGTTTGGAATCTCTTGAAGAGTTTTTCTTTTGGCAGGATGGTGCAGGCATTGTAGGCACTATAGAAAAAGCTCATCCATTTCTAAGAATGTGCTGGAGTTTACAGGAGAAGAATCTGTAGCTGACTCACCATCATTGACTGTGCTTGGAAGTGCTTTCCTAGCATTACAAGTGGATGTGGCTTAGGCCATTTACACTCACTCATCTGGAGCTCCCTGACAGAAGGCAGGCTTCTGTGGGCTGTGGGTATATGGAACAGATTGAAGTGATTTGGACCAAAAGTAGATCTGACCTCTGATCCCAGCCTCATTAGCGCTTGTGCTTTGATCAGCATGTTAATTAACCATAGTGGCCTTGGTAGGCTGTGCAAATCACAAAAATTCTTAAGAAGAGCACTCTAGACAAATTTAAGAAGGCAGGTACTAAATCCAAGAGCTCCACTGTGGCTGGTGTGGCTCAGTGGATTGAGTGCCGACCTGCAAACCAAAGGGTTGCTGGTTCAATTCCCAGTCAGGGCACATGCCTGGGTTGCAGGCCAGGTCCCAGTTGGAGGCATGCAAGAGGCAACCACACAATGATGTTTCTCTCCCTCTCTTCCTCTCTCCTTTTCCTCCCTCTCAAAAGAAAAACAAACAAACAAAAAAAAAAACCCCAAAAACCCAAGGCCTCCAATACATCTCATTTATCTCATTAAATATCCTATGTTGACGTCACCCAGTAATATTACCTATTTCAGAATGTTTCCTGTCTTTCAATGTGATAGATACAACTTAGAAAAGACCCACAATAACTATGAATGCCTGTCACCCACTGCCACAATAATGGGAGCTGTTAGGGGAAAACGTGAGGCTTTTAGATAGCCCTGTGGAGTCAGAGAGGAAGGAAAGATGCTGTGGAAGGAAGCGCAGCTTTAGTGAACTGCCTTCAGGGGCTGCCTCTCAGGCAAGTCTCTGCTGTCTTACTAGTAACCCCTTCATCATGTCCCCAAATATCCACCACTCACCAAATCTTCCCAAAAGCTACCACTTCATCTAGTTACTTGCCCTAACGTTTCACCAACTGGGTTTCATTTCAGATTGACAATCCCCTTCTTTCAAACACAGATGTACCTTTTGGAGGGTAAGAGGCAATCAGTCACTCATTTCAGAATGAAGGTAACTGAGCTACATATTTAGGAGGATAAAGAAGTTTCACTGTGAGTGGGCCAAGTGGAAATGAGGAAGTTGTCTGTTTTTAAGAATAGAAAGTAATAGTGGTTAGATTCTACCACTTCAAAACATTTGATTTGGGTTTTCCTTAAACCCACAATATTGGAAGAAAGCACCCCTTTTTTCTGCCCTCAGGACTGAGGACCCCTGCCAGGGCTCTAATATAACTGTTCCATGTAGGTTAAATCAACCTTTGTGGACTGGGCTGGAAACCTAACCACCACATACATAACACTGTTTCTATGGAGCAACACATTTCAGATACTAAATCATTGACTGATAAATGTTTTGGACACATCTCACTAGCAAGTTGAGGACTGTATATTAACATATCCCCCTTTTTTGTGAATATTTTTCACAGCTTTTTTTTTCCTAAGTAGCTTATATTCCTTGTCCCAAAAAAATATTTAGAAAACAACTGAAGGTTTTCAAACAGAGATTTAAATCAGTTCCATCATATGGCTTGTTTTCTTGTGATGTGCCTCTTCTCAAAATAGATTATTGAAAAAGAAAGTCAATGCTGACTTGTGCCGAGTGGCCGGCGAGGGTTGGCGAGTGTGTGTGTGGAACCGCGCAGGTTGGCGAGGGCTCGTGCGGGCTGGTAAGGCCTCCCACAGGTTGGCACCTATGGCGCCTGCGAGGGAGTGCACAGATCAGTGAGCGCAGGTGTAAGTCGACCCGCGCGGGCCACGAGTGCAGAACAGGCCACAGAAATAGTGGATCCCGGGCTGAAGGGGTCACAGAGCTGCCCAGAGTTCCTGGAGTAGAGACTGGAGACAGGATTAACCAGAGAGTCCCAGAGCTGACTTCCTCCCATTTCCGTAGTCTCCATTTGGTCAGGGCAAGCGACACATACAAGGAGCCAAAAGCGGAGAAAGCACACAATAGAAGACCCTAAACAGACCAGTGCCAGGAGGCCCGCTGGCCTAGGGGGCCAGATGAGTACGCAAGACGTGAAGAAGCCCCATGGGCTGGGGCAAGCACGTGCAAGCCCAGGTGGACGGGGGATCCTGCTGGGCCTGGGAGTGCTATCAAGGACCTGGGAGGAGAGTGCAGAGCAATCCACAGAAATAGTGGATCCCTGGTGGAAAGGGTCACACAGCTGCCCAAAGCAGGAGTCAGACACAGACAGTAGACTCCTGGAAGGCTCAAACAAAAGACCCAAGGCCATATAGGGTGAACAAATGACATCATCAGAGGCAGGCCCAGAAAGAAAAGTAAAGGGGAAAAAAATAAATAAAAAGACCCACCTACTACCATAGAAGTTTAATCCACAAAGTCAGGAAATCTAGACAGCCAAATTGAAACAGAAGCAAAAATAAATAAATAAATAAATAAATAAATAAATAAATAAATAAATAAATAACTTAACAGACTCTCACAAAAATGGGAAGAAAAAGAAGTTCCCCCCAAATGAGTAGAAAAGGGGACTCCCCACAGAGAGAGCTAATGAAATAGAGGCAAGGGAACTATCAGATACTGAATTCAAAACAGTGGTTCTAAGGAAGCTCCATGAGCTCAGCCAGCTGAAAGATAACTATGACAAAATGCAGAGAAAATATCAGGTCTTACAGCAAACTATATAAACCTGGGAAAGGACATGGAAACTATCAAGAAGACACAAGAGGATATGAAGAATACCATTTCTGAAATGAAAAACACAGAAGAAGGAATCCAAAACAGGCTGGATGAAGCTGAGGATGGAATCAGGGAGAAGGAGGATAAGGTAGAAAAAAGCTCCCAGAGAGAACATGAAATGGAAAAAAGACTCAAAAAGAATGAAGAGGCATTGAAGGAAATGCAGGACAACCTGAAACGCAATAATATCCGTATAATAGGGATACCAGAAGGAGAAGGAGAGGAGCAAGGGATAGAGAACTTCCTCCTCAAAAAAGTAATGAAGGAAAATATCCCTAATTTGAGGAGAAAAAGGCTCTCATGGATCCAGGAGACACAGAGGACCCCACTCAAGAGGGACTCAAGGAGGTCCACTCCAAAACACATCATCATTAAAATGGCAACTATCAAAGACAAAGAGAGAATCCTCAAGGCAGCAAGGGAGAAGGAGTAAATAACATACAAGGGGGGCCCAATACGCCTCGGAGCTGACTTATCAAAGAAACACTACAAGCCAGAAGGGAATGGCAACAAATATTCCAAGTCATGAAGAGCAAGGGCCTACAGCCAAGGCTACTCTACCCAGCAAGGCTCTCAATTAAAATAGAAGGGGAAATACGGAGTTTCCCAGACAAGAGAAGGCTAAAAGAATACATCTCTACCAAACCAGCACTCCAAGATATGCTAAGGGGACTGGTTAAAGAAGATGAAAGAAAAGAATGAGAAAGAGAAAAACACAGGTACAAAGAGAAAAGATGAGTAAGTTTCTATCAGTAATGTCTCTCACAGTGAATGGACTAAATGCACCAATCAAGAGACACAGGGTAGCAAAATGGATAAGGAAACATGACCCACACATATGCTGGCTACAAGAGACCCACCTCAGAGCAAGAGACCTCCACAGATTGAAAGTAAAGGGATGGAAGAAAATATTCAAAGCAAATGGGCAAGAGAAAAAGACCGGGGTTGCCATATTTGTATCAGACAAAGTAGATTTCAAAACAACGGCCATGAAAAGAGACTCAGAGGGGCACTTTATAATACTTAAAGGAAGAATCTATCAAGAAGACATAAACACTGTAAACTTATATGCTCCCAATATAGGAGCCCCCAAGT